ACGTATTTTTATGCTTAATATATGCAAATAAAAGAAGAAAGTAAACACAACAAACATCGAGTAAATTTTTATTTGTGTCAAACTGAAACTTTTTTCCCAATAATAAACGGTTAGCTGATTCAATTCACGGCAAGTTCACAAAATTAATTGAAAACTTGTATCAACCAAAGCATTGTTTATATTTGCTCAACAATGATTTTATTCAACTAACAATATTGTCCAATCAAGGTAGTCGTTTTGTAATTATTAACAAATATACATTTGTCCCAACTAGAAGTCTTAAGTAAATTGCAGACTTTCGTGAACTATATATTTATTTCGCCATATCCAACTATGCCACTTGTACACTATAACCAAATCTTGGTTATTATAACTAAACCTTTTTCTGGGTGTAAGCGACACGAAAATTAACGCGTGAACTTTTGTGTTATCAGACGCGGAGCCAATATCCGGCTCGAAGGACCTTGGTCGAGCAAATGGGCTTTTCCACTTGCTATAGATGCAAATAAAACACGAAATTTGCAATGAAAAAACTCATTAATTATTTAATTTATTTGCTCTTAAAATCTTAACAGCGATAGTGAGTCGAAAATGAATTTAGTTACAATGCGCGATGCAAGAACGGACTGTATCCAACGACGTACTAAAGACGATTGTTTTTCTCCAAATTAATCAGCAAATACCTAAGTCCAAATTATGTACTAGCAGTTTAGCTGTGCAATTGAAGAGCGGTAAACTGATAGGCTGTTGATTTTATGNGCTGTGCAATTGAAGAGCGGTAAACTGATAGCCTGTTGATTTTATGTGACGACATGTGGGAGGAATAGTTGCGGTTGTTTGCTTACGTGACCTGTGGCTGGCTAGGTGGCGTGATGTTGAACCATTTTTGTTGTTGTTTATGGAACCTGTTTTCGATGGAGCTGTGGCGTGAGCTCGCAGCCGATTAGCAATTTGACAACGAAAAGTGAAACCAAGTAGTTCTAATGATGAGAACATATGTACATATGTATAAACATACATATGTAAATATGTGCAATGTATAGGCAGTGATGACGGCTATGTTAGTACATAATGCATGCCAATACAGTGGGCAAGCGAAGAAAAATGCGATGACAAACTTTTCTGCATTGGGGTGTTCCAACACTAGTCGTCAACCCCATTTTCGAAATCATGTAGCCGGCATAATTTTCTACTTCATCATATTCCACATCTTTGAATCTACTGATAAAGTCTTCTGCTTATAAAAAAAAAAATATTTCTTCTAGTGATCAGGTAGCATGAATTTCATGAAATGTCATAATTTTATTAAGTCAAATGGTTAACATTAAATGAAACTACCTTCTTTTTTGTATCATGATCAGAACTATTGCTTGATGTTGTCACACAAAGGGGAGGGACCAGTAGTTTTACGCCTACTCCGAACGGCGATAGTATTTTTTATGATAAGCTGTTTTTCATGGCAGAATGCATGTAGTCCAACAACGAATCTACTTTAAAAAATGCGTACTCACGAACAAGTTTCCAAACGCAACTGCATAAAACTTGCACTTTCATAAATCATACACATACTCAGAGGTCGAGGGGCGACCGCTATTAAGTCGAAACTTGTCCAGTAAAATTAGATCAAATTGGTAGTAGTAGCGAACTTTTGATGCAGTTTACTTCTATTTGACACGCAGGTAAGTTTGCATTTTTGTAAAAAATGGTTCAATACAAATTTGTAGATAATTTAATTTCCCACATTTTCATATATACGGTTAAAAAAACTGAGAAAAATGTTTCATTCTCCACAACTCTTGTACGAGAATTTATTTGTACAACGCTTAGATGACCACCAACCCCAAAAACCTGTTTTTCATGGCAGAATGCATGTAGTCCAACAACGAATGTACTTTAAAAAATGCGTACTCACGAACAAGTTTCCAAACGCAACTGCATAAAACTT